TTGAGTTTACATTTTTCTAAATTTTGCTTTGGAATTATTCTTATAAATAGAATATTTTTAATCATGCTTTTATCCTTTTATTTATTTATTTTAAATAAAGCCGTACCAATAGAAAAGTAAGCTATAATCTTGAGCTCCTATTACCATGGTATGAGCCTAACTTCTTGCTTAAGGCCGAATAATCCATCTACCTGAACTATGGTCACTTAACTATAGCAAAAGCCTCTTTTTAAAAAAAAAACTAAATATTAAACTCTGCAGCTACCCAGTTGTCTTGAAATACATAAACTTATGACAGCCAATTCCACAAGACATTTAAGTAATTACCTTGATCATTTAACCAGCATAAAGTGCTAAACTCAGCAAGTGTGTTTTATTCTGACTTTTTGTCCTCTGCTTTCAAAAAGACAAAGAAAACAAACATATACAACAGGCAGGATAATGATGTAGTCATTCTCTTAAGACGTCAACAATTGTAAACTAAAAACTTATATAGGTATAGGATTCTCTAAAAGGTGTGTCTGGTGACAACACAGGCCTAGATCTCTACATTTTCTCCCATTGGACAGATGAAATGGCTTACAGTTACATCACTGCATGCAACTTTACAGTATTAGTCTGCATCTTCAGTCTTATTTGTGTGTATCAAAATAAGCCAACTAGATAACATGCTTTCAGAGATGATTTCCTGTCCTAAGCAAGGAACTTTCTTCCCTTTTCTTTAGTAAATTTTGTCCCACCGTATTTAGAGGCCAGAATTTAAAATACGCATGCAGTATTTAGCTAGCCAAGTTGATTTTAAGAAATTTTAGTTTCATGAAAATGTAAGCAAAGGTCATAAACTATTTTGTCAATGTCCAAAGATTAGGGAGATTTCACATGAACATCTCACACTTAACGTCTTCCCTCTGTGGTGACAACTAGCTGGAGCTGACTGGTGATGCGCACCTTACCTAGGGCATGAGCTCTCCAGTCCTTATCCCTCTCCATGTCTCCATGGCCCTAAAAACAAGAGTCAGAACAAGACTAAAGCTCTCTGTGCTGCTCTGCTTTTCTTAGAGAGGTGGTGAAAAAACCCATCAAAGTAAGAAAATATCACAGATAAGAGAAATGGGAGAAAGTAAATGAGTGTAAATAAATATTCTCATGTGTTTAATATACAAAAAATGTGTCTAAAAAAGACAATTATTCCATTATAATACAAATCCTTCACAGATGTATATTACTTTGTTCTTGTATCCATTTTACATTGCTGATGTCTAGATTCTCAATTATTTAGAAGTATTTTTGAAAAAACCTATCTTATCTGCTTTTCACTGTTTATTAGCATCTCCAGCTAAAGAGGAAAAGAACTACAACACATACTCAAACTGATTATTTTAATATTCTGTCCAGTACTGGAGAAAGGGTTTACTGGAAAAGGATGTCCAAATTAAGTAGATTAAATGAGATAGTTTTTCTCTGTGCATTGTACCTAGCAATGTTTATACCTGAGTAAATGATGAAGGCCTTTAGATCAGACAAAATATGGTATTTCTCTAAGTGGAGTCTTCTTCCATGGGCTCAGTTTGCTGGATAAGTTTTCTAACCTTTTGGGAAGTCCTAGATTTATAGCTTCAAAACTGACTATATATGCTTGAGAACCCAGCTAAGGTTCAATCCCTGTTACCAAACATCAAAGACAAGATAATACTAAAAGTCCTACATAAACCCCGAGATCACAGGTTTGTTCTAAGAAAGGCCTTTCTTATAAGCAAAAGTTTGTTTTTAATAGCTCACAAAAAGATGAAACACTTTCAGATCAAAGACTACTATTTAGAATGAGTCCTAACAGGGCTTTCATTTTTCCAAGTTAATAAGGATTATATTAAACAAATTAGTAAAATCTGAAACTATACTTCAAAGACCAAACCTTATTTTTCTAAATTCAAGGTGAAAACAGTACAGGTTTTAAAATAAGCTGCTGTACTATTGGTTTGATCACAGTTATAACACCAAGATCAAAGATTCAGATCCCTGGACCAGCCAGCCACCGGAAAACAAAAACAAAAACAAAACAAAAAACAGCTGCTATAACTAATTGAAAGATATAATGTACCAATCAGGATGGGTTAAAGTATCTTAAAAGAAGAAAGGAATCACTCCTAATAGCAGCCGTAACACACTGATGCACACTGTAGCTCCCAGATAACTTACCATGACACTCCATTAACTTAAATAAAACTATGGCATAACACAGACACTGACTCAGCTTTAGAATAAGGGAGATATGTAGTTTAAGTTTCTCCACATATGAGCTATGTCTCACAAGGTGGTTCTGCTATTTACCAAAGTATCAGAGCGGTACTGCTGCATACAGATCCATTGCAAGGTTGGATATGTGGCCTACATACATCTTTATGGTGACCATTCTACACTCTGACTGCCATCTCCACAATTCCTTGGTCTAATATGGTTCAGTTGTGTTTGGTTATGGTACTCCTCACCCCCAAATCTGCTCTAGCTGACATTATCAACTATCTGCTCTCTCCTTTCTCCACGGTGAAGAAGAGTAGAAAAGGATTCCTATTCAAGCAGCACTTTGGGCCTCCTAACTGCTGCCCTTTGAAAGGAGAAGGTCACAGGAAGAACAACTCCCACTGAAAATAAACATTAACATTTAGCTTAGAATACCTGGAAATGTAATTCTGCATAATCTTAGGCATGCTTATCTTAGAACTTTTAAACTGAAAAAGGTAGGGTTGTTTAAAAATTACTAGCTTCTATCCCCAATAAGGAATCAGTGAAGCAATTAAAATTTTATTTTTAGATAGTTTAGTGAGAATGTAAGACATGTAAATATAAAGATGATCAAAAGTCAGAAGAGGTCAGAGTGATGAGCTTTCATTGGAACCCTTTCCTCAAATATTCTATTGTAAAAACAATATTGCAGCCTTTACTAAAAGTGAAGAATAACAAAACTAGTGAGTTAATTCCATCTTCTGTTATTAAAAAGACCAGATTACATTGTTAAAGGGGTAAATCCTAGGTCTTGCATTCTTTTTTCACTACCTGCTCTTATTTGCTCTTTTCTAAATATGGTGGACTGTGGCTCCTCTTAACTTTCGACCTACAAAGAAGCCATTCCTACTTTGACATTGTGATACAGATCTCACATGTTTAAGCCATGTAAGCACCATGAATGTCACCTCCCCTTGAGTAAGCCCAGGATGTGGAACAAAATAGTCGTGTATATAGGATAGGGTCACTCTTTAGCTAACACTTCTAAGGACCCACCAATGGGCAATTGGAACTTCTCTCTATCCTCTTCATTCCCAGGTGACACACAGTTCTGCTTCTGGATAAATTTAAATGACTGTAATAGAAAACATACTACCATTTCAGCAAAAACTCTATCTATGATACATAATATCTACATCAAGAAAGGTGTTAGTCAAATGCAATTTATACTAGAAGGATTAACAGACTGAACAAGTTAAACTCACCAGACATTTACGGATCTCAACCCTATTTATATTATTCAGTCTTCATCATCAAACTGAGTCTTATAGTGGGTATAATATAACTTTATCTTAGGTATAATGAGGACAGAATGGCCACTAAAATGTATCAAAGACCAAAAGAAGAGTATGATTTTAGGTAGTTCCTTTTTCATTTGGTAACGACGGTAATTTCACTTACAAAAAAACAGACTCAAATTTCAAAGTTTAAAGTTTCATTAGAAAAATCATAACAAAATAAAAAAAGTATTTATCAAGAATAATGGTAGTATTATATTCACCAAGTTCAGCAAATTCATTTGAAAAATGAGTTATAATATAGGAAGATAAACGACAGCAAAAAGTCTTACACAACTAACTGATCTGTACAACCAGCGCCTTAAAAAAACCCACATCATTTAGTTTTAATAAAAAGCAACTGCAGTTCCATTTTCCAAGCCGTATTCTTGTGGGTTTTCTACAATTGGTTTTATGTTAAATTTTCTCCATAACAAGTTAAAAGATATATGTCCTTTTCTCATCACCAAGAACTCTATTCCACAAAACGTTTAAACTAAGCACCTGAACCAGGTGTCTCTGTTGTTGCTTCTGTTACTTTCATTTTGTTGAGAAATATAAAACTGCTTTGATGGTCAATCCAAGTTCAAGTCTACACCAGAGTTCTAGCACTTTGCTTCTTAGGAAGCATGATTTAGAGTCATATGAAGCTATGCAATTGAAATATTTATAATGATGAGCTTTTTCTTTTAAAGTCTGCCTAAGTTCTACCTTTCCTATGCCCACCCGTGGAAGCTCCACTTCCCCTATCAGATTTAGATTTGGCAGGAAGTGATTTTGTTCCATGTCTTTCAATTTCTTCAGTACTCAAATTATATCTGAGTTTAAGATTTAAAAAAAAAAGAAAAAAAAGAAGTTGGCCTCTTTTTATTGTTTTATAAAGAAAATGTTAAAAACCTAAGAGAAGTTTACCATCTGTCCCAACTCCATTCTATCAAGCCTCCCAAACAACTTCCCATTTGCTGTGGCATCAGTGGCAAGATGCACATTATCAACTCCTGTCAGCTCTAGTATGATACCACAGACTGAACCTTTTTCACTGCTCAGCTATTTCTAAAAAGTAAAAGCCTTTGTAATTAGTTGGAATCTATCAGAATAAATTCAGTCTCCAAAGGTGAAGCTACTTGTGTTGTTCCATTCTGTTCAGTTCCACATGTGCATGACAAAAGGCATGATCACTTATTTATCCTGAACAAAACTAGACAGTGTGTGACAACTGCAAGGGAAGTTGGTTAAGATATTCCTGCAGCTCAGAGAAAATCAAGCAAAGAGCAAGCTGGAACTGAGCTCTAAAGCTGAACAAAACTAGACAGTGTGTGACAACTGCAAGGGAAGTTGGCTAAGATATTCCTGCAGCTCAGAGAAAATCAAGCAAAGAGCAAGCTGGAACTGAGCTCTAAAGTAGGTCTTCCACTGAAAATTCAAAGTACAATAGAGAAGGTTAGAGGGGCATTAACAGGATCACTGTCCTCAAACATTATCGAGGTGGAAAGCCACCTCTGTGTGCTCCTCCACGGCCTCCTCTAAAGCCACCTCTTTCTCCTCGGAAGTTAGATCGATTTCTTTCTCGTCCACGGCCAGCAGAAGTTCCACCTCTTCCCCCGCCTCTGGGAGCTCCACCTCCCCGATCAGATTTAGATTTGGGAGGGGGTGACTTTGGTCGAAGTCTCTCAATTTCTTCTGTACATCCAGTCAAGTAAGAATTAGGGGTGCTGAAATAGGATGCGTATGTTTCTGCATTGTAGTTGCTATTTGTAAGTGTTGGTCCAACTGTAAGCCAGCCTGAAATGGAGGAAAAAAGATAATCCTTTTTATTTGCAATTATCTCTTCTCTTATTTATCTTTTAGGGGCTAGTTTAAATCCCCAATGAATTCTTAATGATGTACCATCACTCACGCAATATTGATCTCTTTTACAGAATGCATGGTACTTAATCATGGTCATATTTTAAAGATCTCATATGTACATATACTGTTTCTCCTCCTAGACTGTAACCTTTATAGTACTGTATATCCTTCTCATTGTTGCCATCCATGTTCTACATTCTGTGAAATAGCACATACAAAAAAATATACACCACACTGAGTTTAGAGTCAGTGAAAATTTAATAAAGTACATACAACCTTCCTACTTATGGAAATGGTGCCATCATTTTCTGATTAAAATTTCAGAACTAAATCTTGCTCTACTCTTCCAAACCACAAACTATTCTCAGTTGATAAGTCCTAGAAATTCAACCACTACCATGTTGCTCCTGTTCATTTCCATCTTTCCATTTCTACTACCACCCCCACAGTTAAGCCTTTATTTTTCTACAAGGCCAGTTGCCTACACCACACTACATGTGTAACACATACACATAGTAATTATCTCCCAACCTCTAGTTTCTCCTCCCTTTAAAAGTGGAAAGCCTAAAGCAAAGCTTAAAATGTGTCACTTCTCTGTTCAAAAACCTTCTATGGTGTTCTACAAAGCCCAAATTCATAAATATGAAACTAATATCTTTTATAATAACAGTTAAACTAACTTTTCAATCACATTTCTCATTAATGCTTTTCATGAACCTTTGTTTAAGTAAAACAATGACTGTTTCCACAATAACCTTCACTTTTGTACTCATTGTCTTTTTTCTTTTCTGTCAACCTGTTGAAAATCCCAGCCTTCAACATCCAATTCAAATATACTTCTTAAATGAAATGAAAATTTTATCTCTCCTCAGAATTTCCATTAAACATTGTACTTCAATAGGTGAAAAGGTATTTTTGTCAACTACAGTGCCAGATAACTTTGCTTATAATAAAGATAATTTCTGATTAATTAAACTGTATCTGAAATGGGAGGAATTACAAATGAACTATAAATGCCCAGTAGAGACACCATGCTCTGGCGTTCCTTTGGTGCAGCGATTCCTGTAACTGACATGTCCTTTAGAGGGACTCTGGAAATATGCCTACGGAATGTAACAAGAGACATGGGATCCTTTGGGACAGGTCAAATAATCTCTAAGAATTAGGTTCTCTATCTGTAAAATTTGGTTTACAATATCTCTGCCCTATCAACCTCAAGGTTATTTCTTAGACTATTAGCTGAATCATAAGATTCTATAAAATGAAAACTGTTTTACTAGGATTACATTCTAAAATGTTGTAGCCACTTTTGTACAATACTTGTTCATTGTTTTAAAGAATCTTCAGTATCTACCAGTGCATGATGGATACAAAAATGTTTGAAAGAAAAAAAAAAGGTAAATTATATTGTGCCTTTTATGTATCACTTTGTTGACACCCTGATAAGTACAGAAACAGATCAGATCAATGAGCACATTCTACACCTGTGTGGTCTCACTGACTATTGATATTACGAGATTTTTCCTTGCTTCCTTCTAGTTTGTTTTGTGCTATGTTTGTGGTGTTGTGCAAAACACAAACACAAGGTAAGGAGCAGAAAATTTAAAGGTATAATAAAAATAGATAATATTGCTACTCCCCTGCCATATTGCCTCTTACATAAATAAAACATGGAAATCTTTGCAGAGTAAAGTGGTTACAGAAGTCCAAGGGATTCCTTTCTCCCCCAAACTCTTCATTGCAACATTGTGTTTTATTACAGCTTTACAGGTATTACTAAGAGCAAAGTAAGTTTAACACAGCCTAGCTTCAGAGTATATTTGACAAACACAGCTATCTTGAAACCTTATTTTGAAGCACTGGTAAATGGTACTCCTAAAGTATATGTGAAATACCTCAGACTATCTCCTTGAGGAAGAAGTGTATTTAAAGGATCAACCCAAATAAATTAAGGCATCTTGAGAAGACTCTCAATTGCTCCTACTATTATTTATGTAATTAACCTCAAACATCGATACCTTCATTAAGTACATTTTCTTCCTAATTCTGTTTTACTGTAGCCAATACTAAAGTAATTTTTGTAAGAACAGGCAAGAGTGAAGAACCAGATGGTAGTTTACAAGTTAAAAATTAAACTTGTACCCCTAAGATTTTGTTTAACTGGTTGAGACACAAATAAAAGATATCCTGTATAAAAGATATAATGTGTAATCTAAAGCAGGTAAAGGGGCCACGCTAAGTGGATGGAGAAGAAACCCTGAAAATTAAATGATAATTACAAATAAAAGTCTGTTTTAGTTGGTCTTTGTGTTTATAACTACACTTAACAATAATCTACTCTCTCTACTCCTTAGGTTCTTCTACTTGTTTTTTAAAAAACAGTTTTAATAGAGATCATTAAAATAATGCTACAAAGCCATTAAAATGATTATGAACAATTATTTAAAATGCAGAAAAATATTTGACATAATACTGAGGGGAAAATACAAAATGATGACTATAATTATGTAAAAATTTCTTTGCATAGGTACTGCAAAGTAGTATATAAAAAATTAAAATTATTCTTGGAAGTCGTAAGATCAACTCTTCTTTCCTCTTCAAAACTTTTGTAAATATGTTACATTAACTTTTCAATTATTAAAAGATTATCATCTGATGTTTACTTTTTATCCTTCAAATAGTTTTGCTTTTTCTTTAAGTTTTTTGCTTCCTTAAAACAGCAGTACTCACTGGAGATTGTTCCCAGATTCAAGAGCTATTTGGGGCTAGGGCAGGTTAATGATGGAAGAGAAAAATCTGTTCCTGTTTGCTAAAACTCTACAGCCATAATCTTGATAGTCAATACATACGGGCACCTACTCTTTCTGAACAAACATACTCCTCCAGCTGAATATCTAGTGACATTACTTTCTATTAAGCCAGTGAAAATGAAAGATTTGCTCACCACAAGCTCTGCTGCCAAATATTTTTACTTTGATAAAAGAGCAAAATCATCCACAGAACTTCCAAACAAGATGTTCATGTACGTTTGCAGAGGAAGTGTAAATAACTCAAAGTTAATTCTATACCTGTATATATACTATGTATATAATAACATATGCATGATCTATATGTATATCAAGGAAAAATTAGTTTGAAAAAATTAAGGAAACTATAAAGATTAAACCATGGCATTCTCATCCTTTAAAAATCAGTATAACACTTTAGACTTTAATAATTCAATGACACACGCTGCAATCTCCAAGATAATCACAGAAGGAATGTAAGAATATCTAACAAAGTAATAAAAAGGAATAATGAAACAATAAATGAGTAACTAATCAATCCAAAAGAAATGAGAAAAAGAGGAACAAAACAAAAACAGGTGGTACCAATGTAAAGCAAACAGTAAGGTGATAATTTATGCTCAAACATATCAGGAATTACACTAAATATAGTCCAATTAAAAGATAAAATAAAGGTAAACTGAATGAAAAAGCAACCATATGTTTATTCACAAGAGATACAACTTAAATGTAAGGATATAGAAAGATTGAAAGTGAAAGAATGGAAATAATATGCCATATAAACACAAACCAAAAAAAGCTGGAATAGCTATAATAATATCAGCTGAAGTGGAATTTAAGGCAAAAAAACAATAGATAAAAAAGGATATTTCATAATATTAAGAGGGTCAATCTACCAGGAAGGCATAAAAATTCTACATTTTATATATACCTTACAACATAGCCTCAATAGATATAAAAAAACAAACAACAAAAAAAAAAAACACAAACCAAACAAACCCCAAACTGACAACAAAGAAAACCACAAGTCCATAACCATAGGAGATTTCAATAGATCTCTATCACCGAACAAAGTTTAAAAAGAAATCAGTAATGATACAGATGATCTAACCAGAACACAATTAATAAATACTACAACTAACAACAAAAACAGAGTACATATTCTTTTCAACTGGACTTGGATATTTATCAAAACTGAGTCATAAAGCAAATTGCAACAAATTACAAAGGAGTGAAATCTTATAGTATGCGTTATTTGACCAAAATATTGGGCCAACAAGCAATAATGAAATGATAATTACCACAATATTGAATAACCAATGGGTTAAATACATAATCACAATGAAAAAAATCTAAAAAGTATTTTTAAAGCGATGGTAATAAAATACTACATGTTAAACTTTTGGAATGCTTTAATAAAGCTGTGCTTAAAGAGATTTAGAGCCCTACTATTTAGAACCCTAAATATAATATAAAAAGCTGAATATCAAAAATCTAAATATATCTCAGATAGAAAGATAGCAAATAAACTCAAAGAAAGTAGAGGGAAAAAACCAAAAGAGCAGAAATTAATTAAATAAAAATAAACATGCATCAAGACAATGAGAAGATAAGCCACATACCGAGAGAAAATACTTGCAAAAGACAAAGCTGATAAAGAATGTCATGTAAAAGATAGAAAGAACCCTTAAGCTTCAACAATAAGAAAACAAACAACCCAATACCGAGAGAAAATACTTGCAAAAGACAAAGCTGATAAAGGAATGTCATGTAAAAGATAGAAAGAACCCTTAAGCTTCAACAATAAGAAAACAAACAACCCAATAAGAAATGGGCCAAAGACATTAACAGGCACCTTACAAGAAGATATACAAACATCAAATAAGCATATTAAAAGATACTCCACATCAGATGTCATCAGGGAAACATAAATTAAAATGTGATATTACTACCTACATATTAAAATGGCCAAAATCCAGAACACTAACACCAAATGCTAACGAGGATGTGGAACAACAGTATTCTCATTCATTGCTGGTAGAAATGCAAAATGGTGCAGGGACTTTGAAGGACAGTTTGGTAGTTTCTGACAAAATTAAACATACTCTTACCATACACAGGATTCAGCAGTTGTGCTCCCTGGTATTTTCCCAAAGGAGTTGGTAACTTATGTCCACACAAAAACCTGCACATGGATATTTATAGCACCTTTATTAATAGTTGCCAAAACTTGGAAGCAACCAAGACGTCCTTCAGTAGGCAAATGGATAAACTGTGGTATATCTAGAATATGGGATATTATTCAGCACTAACAAGACATGAGCTATCAAGCCATGAAGTTTTCTACTAAATGAGAGAAGCCAATCTGAAAAGGCTGAGTACTATATGATTCCAACTGTATAACATCCCGGAAAAGGCAAAATTACGGAGATAGTAAAAGGATCAGTGGGGGCCAGTGGTTGTGGGGATGGGGAGAGATCAATCAGTGGAGCACAGAGGTTTTTTCAGTTTGATACTATAATGGAGGATAGATGTCAATATACATTTGTCCAAACCCACAAAATGTACAACACCAAGAGTGAACCATAATGTAAACTACAGACTTCGGGTTATTATGATGTGTCAATGTGGGTTCCTCAGTTGTAACAAATGTACCATTATGGTGGGTGTCTTAGTCTGCTATCCATTGCTTATAACAGAATACCTGAAACTGGGTAATTTACAAAGAAAATAAATTTATAACTATTTATATTATATATTTTAACTATAGTTTTGGAGGCTAGGAAGTTCAAGGTCGAGGGGGTGCATCTGGTGAGGGCCTTCTTGGTGGCAACTCTCTGCAGAGTCCTGAGGTGACTCAGGGCATCAGATGGTGAGAGGGCAAGAGCATGTTAATGTGCTCTTTTCCTCTCCTTATCAAACCACCAGTCCATTCACATGATAACTCATTAATCCATGAATGGATTAATGGATTCATCAGAGTATAGCCCTCATCATCCAACCACCTCTTAAAGGCCCCACCTTCATACACCATAGTCGGATTTCCCACCCTTTTAATACCGTTACAATGGAGATGAAGTTTCAACATGAGATTTGGAGGGGACAGTCAAACCATAGCAGTGGAAAATATGGGGAGGCTATGCAAGGGTATACAGAAAATCTCTACACTTTCCTCTCAGTTTTATTAGCTGTGAACCTAAAGCTGCTAGTATTTGAGGTACAGCAAGAAAAGGAATTAAATACATAAGAATTTTATTTTACACAGTACCGTGTCCTATTTTCTCAGCACCCATATCCCAAAGAATCATAAAAGTTGTTGTGTGGTTTTTTTTTTTTTTTTAAAAGTGAGTTCCTACCTGGTCGAATTGTACTATCTCTTCCAAATAGATGAAGGCGTCTTCTACCAAGACAAAAATGTTCAATTATATGAAAAATTTCTACAGGTTTTTCTATATTGCCAATTTCAGGTTCTTCAGTGATAATTAAGTCAATGTCAACATTAGCATGAATGAAGTCCCCGTCTGTACTACGTTTCACAGTTCCTTTGATTCCCATAAGGCAGTGTTCCTAAATAACAAGAGTACACCAATGAATTTCTTTTCATCAACAGTCATATTTCATAACATTTTGCATTTCTGATATTATCAATTCCAAAAATAATCTTCACTTCTCTTCATCTTTAGAACATAGTTCTATGGGCAAAAACATAATAGGAAGGCCTAGATCTCTAAATGTGGGAAGACTGCCAGGAAAACAGGAAAAACAAACTGTTTTCTTCTATACTGTCACTTGCAATACACCATACTTCCGGAACACTTCACTTCTGACACCAGATGTGTGGGTTTTTCCTACACCAAGCAATTCTGCACTTCTCCACTGGTGCTATAATTCAATTCAATTCTGACACTATCTACCTAGTTAGCACAGACCTCACAAGCTAAGGGATCAGTTCCACAAGACTGCCCCCCACTTCAGATACCAATCACAACTCCAGGTTTTCACCCGTGCTTTTGAATGAACAGCTATAAATCAGAGGTTTCCATACCCCCCCCTCAGTTTTGATCATTTGCTAGCGCAGCTTTACTTACTATTTCCTATTTATAATAAAAGGATTCAACTCAGGAACAGCCAGGCAGAAGAGATGCATAGAGGGCAAGGTATGGGAGAAGGGGCATGGAGCTCCCATATCCTCTCTGGCACACCAACCTCCCAGCAACTCCCCAAGTTCACAAACCTAGAAGCTCTCCAACCCCCACCCCTTTGGGATTTTATGGAAGTTTCATTATGTAGGCACGATTCCAGTCCCAGAAAGACTTAATAAGAAAGGCCCTCCCACCAGTGGCTCCCTAAAGAGCAAAGAACAGAATCTGTTAAAGCCTGATAGTAGAAGGGCAGAGTAATATGAAGAAAAGTTCTCAGAGGTTCTTGTGTAGGAAAAAGAAGGGAAGAAGCAATGTCTCTAACTTGGCCAGACACATGTCTTGCTGCCGTCTCTTCTTTCCGAGCCTAGAGAAAGGGAAAAATTCTGGGGGTCAAGGTATCAAAAGCCCATATCTAACTTAGAAATATGGCAGTTTAGGACACACAAGAATGTATATTCCCCTTTCCAGCAGGGTGGAAGTTGATTGGAGATAGTGAATAAATTAACTTGGATGTATTTCTGTAATGGCTCAATGCTATTCTTACAAGTCTAAAAAAAGGATCTTTCCACCAAAATTAATTAAACAGTATACAGAGATTTGGAAAATCTTAAGAGAAAATAATGAAAATAAAGAAAACAAAACAGTAAAGGTAATACCTTTGTTCTCTGGAAGACAGCCTTTGGATCTAAAGTCTTAGTTTTCCCAGGATTATTTTTATTGGTTTTAATCCAACAAATATCTTCACATCTTCTATAACCCCACTTGCGTAAACACTACAAATAAAATAATTTAAAAAAGAAATCCTTAAAGAAATAAACAATACTTAAAATAATCAACTAGCATTAAAAAATCTTCTAGAGGTTTGAGACACTAAATTCCAAGGTATCACAGTAACTGTTTTAGTGCAGAAATAGAAGAAAAGAAATGCCAGTCTTTAAAATGTATAGCCACAATAACATATAACTTTTGGATATTAATGTTATATATATATATTGTTAAATATCAAAACATAGGAAGAATTCCATCATATCCCAATTCTTTTAATACTACCTTCTACTGGCATCAACAGACACTGGGTTTTAAATTGCAAGAAAACACTCAGACCCTCTGTAATCACAAAATAATCCAAATGATAATTTGGATTCCTGCCACCGCAATATTCCATCCTCTGACAAAGCTAAATGCTATTAAAAATTTTCTAATTGATAACTTCTTTTCAAATGAGTCCTATAAAACTTTATTTCTATATTTAATACTAACACTTCAAAAGATTCAGACAAAATTGTTATATATCTCTTTACTGGGTATAAGTGTACTTTCATCTTTATATAATGTAGAAAATACACATGTGAACCCTTTGTGTCCTAGAATCTGTTATAATCATATGAACATACAACAAGTACTAGCTAAACCATTGCTCAGAGTGGCATTTTGAGGGCCTACCATATGTAGGTGCTTGCTAGCTACTGGTAATGAAACAATAAGGTACAGTCCCTACCCTCAGTAAAGAGTAAATTAGGGGAAAATAAGAAACTGTGAAGTACAATATAATTGGTACTATGTTCGAGTACATATAAAGATACAGTANTTTTATTTTAAAATCTCAAACATCACGATCAATATTTGTTCCTGTCACTAAATATTTGTTTTGCACTGGATGTTCATTAACTTCACAATGGCCTAATTCCTACATGCCCTAATCCACTAATTTACCAAGAGATCATGAGTATTTCACATGCTGAATTATTTTTGTATTCGCTTTTGGCCAAACTCTGCTTTCATCAATATGATATACTGCTGCATATATGAATAATAAAACCTCCTAATCATTTTCAACCTAATTTGAGGGAGTGGGAAGAAAGACTAAATTCAGACATTAGATTTTTAAAAAGTATACACTAGTAGACCTTTAAGAACATACAGTATGTTTCTTTCTCTCTATTTTCTTGCTTTTCCATAGCATTTTGAGGGAGTCACTACCAAAAGAATGGAAATGCCCAGTTGGAGTATAGTCTTACCTGAGTTAACAAATGAAGGAAGCAGTGATGTTACCCAACAGCCCCAAACTCACTATTTATATAAAGAATATAAAGTAAACATAGAATTTCAGAAATTAAGCACAAATTTATCTCGATATAATCCCATTTTTTATCTTATATAGTCCTACTAAAATTCCACAACTACCAAAATGGACTCCTCCACAAATTAGCATGATTAAATGAGATCATTTACTATATAACAAGTAATATATCCTAAATATGGAAAGTATCATTCAATAAGATGTGAGGAAAC